AGAATGACTTCAAAATTGAGAGACAGGTAGCTTACATAACAGAGAACTCACAAAAAAAAAATCAGAAAAAAAAATAATTTTTAGGTACCAAAATATTTTTTTGCGGGGTCCGAACCCCTTCGAGTTCGGGCCCCATACGGGGACCCGAACGCCCGAACGTTCAGGGGTCAGCTTAGGGGCCTCCGTATGTTCGGCCTGGCAACTCTGGTCTGAACACTTTTTTTTTTTGTTAGACTCTGAGGCTCTGAGCACTTCTTTTTTTTTGTCTGACACTTTTAAAAAATTTCGTCTGAGAGAAATTCTCTTTCTGGAAGAACTCACCATTGGGAGTGAGGTGCACTCCTGTGCCCATCGGATTGAACAACGCGATCGACAGCCGTGCAGGCGATTCCCAGAAATGTGCCACGTGTTCCACAGGGACCGAGTACCGAATATCAACTGCCAGGTTGGTAGTTCCAAGGGCCCACTTGGCGCGCAGCTCCATCTCTGGAATTGGCAGCACCCGGAGGGCAACGTACCGCGCCCGCACGCGAAGGCGAGGCTCTATCGTCTGTGTGTCGAGATCGAAATTCGCTCCCATCCCTAGATTCAATCCTGCTGGCAGAGATGCTTCACCTGTCTTCTGATCGGGGAAATCCCCTGTCTGCAAGAGCTAGGAGGCAGTTAGGCAAAAACCAGCCCAAAAAAAAAATAAAACAAAAAAAAAAAAAAAAAAAAAAAAAAAAGAGGAAAAAAAAAAAAGATTTGAAATTGGCATGAGTGATGAATCATGAATAGCATTGAATACCAAACAACTTAAAACAAGGCAAAAAACAAAAATTGAAAATAGTTTAACTAACTCCTTTCTGTCCTTCTTTTCAGTGTGATCTTTACTAAATTTGAGATATCCTGACCAGCGCAGGCAGGGTGCATTGTATTCGAGGGAAGAGACCGCCAGATCACCTGCCGATTGCTCGTTTTTTTCCATGTTTTGAAGTTCCCCTTTTCACCTCGAAGTTTCATTCTGTTCTTCTCTCTCAGATCTTAAGCCACCAGTTCTGCTGCCGTCCTTCGGAACATCCGTTAAAATTGGAACGATACAGAGAACCTAGACAAGATTAGCATGGCCTCTGTGCAAGGATGACACGCATAAACCGCCACAGTTCACACGAGTCTTAAGTTGACGAGGCCGACTACCTTCCAAGGCTAGCGAGCTTGCCACTTACTAGCCTTTTCAGAGTTGCCTGCCTGCCGCTTTTGCTACCGGCCGGCGCAGGCCCGATTCGAAAAATGCTCCCACCCGCGTATACAGAGGTAAGAGCGCCCGTTCCACACACAACAAAGCTAAGCTGACGAAGCTACCGTCCAAGGTTCGCGAGCTTGCAACTGCGCCTTTTCAGAGTGGCCTGCCGTGTTTGCTACCAGCCCAGGCACGCCCGAATCGAAATGGTCTTCCCGCCTATAAAGAGGAAAGAGCACTGCTTATGTTTGTGAGAACAGGCGGTTAACAGAATGAATGGGCAGATCTTCACGGGCTCGTCGGGTCTTACCGGAACCATCAGATCTGAAAGGTACTCTTGGGTGGGATCTTAACGAGATCTTTCGAGCTTAAGCCACCAGCGCGCACCCGGGCCTGCAGGAGCCTTACAGAGCACCAAGCTCTTTCCGAGCGGCCAGCGGTGCACTTCTTTTCTCGTTTTTTTGGCTGGCGCCGCCATCCTATCCCTTAAGGAGCATTGGCCGCAGGGGGGAAGTCCATGACGCGCTGCGCGCCGGATTCGGGGTCGAAGTTTTGACGAGGGGTGGCGGATGAAGGGGATCGGGGGCGGGGGAGTGTGCAGAGGGGCGCGCGTACCGAAATGTTCACGGGGGCGAGGCAGAGGTCGTGCTGGTTTAACGGAATGGCCAGATTTCGACAGGATCATCAAATTTTGACGGTATGAGATCTTTCTTTTGACGGAATCAGATTTTTCATTGACGAATCAACAGGTCGAGTGATCGATCCTCAACAGACCTATGCAGAGGGATTGACCCATCAATCTCTGACGAGTGGCTGGCCAATTTGATGACAGAGTACAAGGGATAGGATCCACAGGGTCCCCGGGGGGAGGGGGGGGGGGGGGGGGGAACGTAGAAGGAAAAGGTCTATTCTTTTTTCAAGTCTTAGAGTTAGGTTTCGTAAAGATAAATAAGCTCAAATTAGTTAAACGCAAATCGACTTTGGAGACTTACATTACTCCACAGCCCGTTGTGAAATTTCCGCCAACGCGGCCTGTGCTGTGTTTTGCATATGATTTGCTTTGTTAACAGGACCGGAGAATCATACTGATCATGTAGAACAAAGACCCTTAAACCACCACTACCCCCGCCGTCATAAATTAGGGGGAACCGGTAGCACAGGTCCATGAGGGCTACCTAAGTGCAACGAAGTTGCCTCTACCAAGAAAATCCGGGAACACCTTCAACATCTTTTGTCCGTGTGCCGGCACAAAGTGTGGCGTCAGAGTTTCCATAGTACATGAAAATGGAAAGGGAAACAGTCGGTAGTCTTGTCAAACTGATGGAGAGCCGTGTGCTTGGTAGGAAATCTTGCATGCACGGTTCGGAGGGAAGCTTAGTCAGCAGATTACACACACACACACACACACACACACACACACACACACACACACACACACTGCTTACCCTATCTATTGGGTCGTTGGTTCGAATCCAACCTAGGAAAGCTGTTCCGTGTTCAAACATACGGTCAACCGACATTCTATTCTAATCGAATTTAATTACATTAGACTCAATGGAGACATTGTACAAGCGCGTTGTTGCTTGCCTCTCTACTCTACTTGTGAAGCAGCCCGCGACCTCTTACGGGTCCATCAACAAAACGAGAACATACAATACAAAATGAAAAACGAATGGTTATTTGAACTTATTTATTTCAGATTTTGCTTGTATGGACACCGCAGAGCCTTGGCAATACGGATTTCAAGATGCAGGCACTCACTCCTATCATGCAAGGAATTGTTGAGTGCGCCCAGGTCGCAGATCTCAAATGCAGGGCGGAGGCCGGCTCCGACTCTGCCACACCATCTCAAGCTGGCCCAGGCCAAGGGTGTGAGTGTGCTACACGTGAGTGGTATGCCTAGTGATAGGTCATGCCTGAAAGCAGCACGCATTGAAATGGCCCAGGCCAAGGGTGTGAGCTACGCGTGAGTGGTATGCCTAGTGATAGGTCATGCCTGAAAGCAGCACGCACAAGTCGAAGAACGGCTTCGCTGAAGTAGAAGGTAATAAGGTTCGGATAACGGACGTGATACGTAAAGCCCATGGTACCGATCGATAGCTTTGTCTCTAGGTAAAATGTTCTCAAAGGCTCAACAAGGAGTCCACTATAATATAATGCCAGAAATCTGAAGATCAAATTCTGACAAGTTGCTTATAGAGTTCAGGTGGGTTGCACTTCATGGCTAAAGAGAAAACCCAAAGGCAAACACGAAAAGAACTGAGGGAAAATCAATCTTCCTTTCGGGATTGGTTTCGAAGGGGTCCCACAAGAGGCGGTGGGGGTTTTCCATGCATCCCAAGAGGACCCAGAGTCTTTTCTTTTTTCTAGTATTGGCTGGCAAAAGGGTGGGGAGGGGGAGGGGGATGAATTGGTTTTAGAGGGGCTAAAAGGTTTAAACTTTCAAGGGGTCTGCCTTAGTCTGATTCTGTTATTTTCTTTTTTATATTCGATGAAGTGAGGAATCCTGATATGACCTCAGCCAAAAATCCTTCGCATTGCGATTTTACACAGCATTTTATTTTTTTGATTTTTTTTTCCGGATTTCTTCTTTTTTTTTGGGCACTGGGGCTGTCTGGAACCCTGCCCATGTATCTGGGCACAAGTTGGGTGCGCAGGTGCCCGAAAAAACACCGTACCGCCTTCCGCCCGAACACAACAAACGGTCACTATTGCTGCATCTAGAGTCTAGACTAAAAGTTGCCCCAAATACAGCTACAAAGACCATANACCGCCTTCCGCCCGAACACAACAAACGGTCACTATTGCTGCATCTAGAGTCTAGACTAAAAGTTGCCCCAAATACAGCTACAAAGACCATACGTGTATCCGGGTGAAGATGGCAGGTGCATACGCAACCCCATTTTGCCGGCCTGGTTTCTGGGCATGGGTATAACTTGTGGTCCCCCACCAACAGCCTGTGGGACTGGGTACACGTATAATTTGGCGCCGAGGAAAAATAGCTTATTGCCTTATTATACGTGTACCCGAGGCACTTCCGACGGGCAACTTTACTCGGAGGCAAAACGGCTGGTGGCCAGTACTTCCGAGGCACTTTTCTCCGACCATGGCAATGCCCTGCACGCCCAAAAAAAACGATGCGGCACGGCCTCCTTTTGCCTGGCGCCACCAGCCGTTTTGCTTCGGAGGCTGAGTCCCGACAGTTGCAGCGCGCATACAACAAGCCCACGGCCAATGTATGGGCCAAGTCATGGGGATTCAAGTTCGGTGCTTGGGACTGGGTATAGTTGCAAGTTGGGCGCTTGGGACTGGGTATAGTTGCAAGTTGGGCGCTTAGGACTGGGTATAGTTGGAGATTTCCATCTTTACATGGGGTACAGAATCTACAGATGCAATTTTGAATTTTCCCAGAAGAAAAAAGCCAAAACAGCTCACAGTCTTTCTTGAGCAAGTTGAAAGAACTAACACTTTTCTTTTTTTTCTACATTTTTCTTTTTTAAAATGGTTTTTCTCTTCTTCTTTTTTTTGTTCTCAGCGAAGTGGATTCTCCTCTTCTCCTGATAAGAGATTGATTGTTGTCCTAGGCTACCAGCCGGGCCGCCCGGGTCACCCTGTTTTCCTGGGCGGCACGGCCGTGCAAGCACCAGGGGAAGTCCCTGCAAAAAAAAAAAAAAAAAAAAAAAACGAAAACAAACTATGTTGTGCAGAAAAATAAACTGGACAACTTTTGCCTCAGGGTCACATCGAAATTCTTTACCAAAAAAAACAATAAATAAATAAAAAATATATTCATTTATTTTTGGCCCGGCCGGGCAACTGCCCCCGGGCCACTCTGGTAGACTAGTTGTTGTCAACAAAAAAATGGAAAGAAAAAAAAAGATGCCTGACACAGTTCATTATCTTCTTCTTCTTTTCTCTCTCTCTCTTTTTTTTTTTTTTTTTCAATTCCTCCTCTTCCCTTCCTTCTCTCTCTTCTTTTTTCTTTTCCTTTTTTTTCAAAGCGCAACGGCCTTGAGATATCATAAAATGATCTCACCGGCCCCAGGTAATTCAGAATCCTTATATTCTGGTCATTCGATTGTATCTGGATCTGAACTTGGGCCTGATTCATCTTTCGACAGTTCATTGTGTGTACCAACTGAGCTACATAAGTCGGTCGGTCATTGTCTTCTTCTTCCTCTTCTCTCGACTCCTCCACCACTCACGAAATGTGCTACATGAGAATGAATCTATGGCTAGAACATGGAAAGATAAACGGCCATAAATGTGCTAAATGAGAATGAATCATCCGCTAGAACATGGAAAGATACACCGCCAGAACTTCTGTCTCTTGGGCATGTGGTGAGTGGTGGAGCGAGGACCAGGGTTCCTCCTCTCTTCTTCTTCTTCTTCTTCTGTCTGCAACAGATTGAGGTATGTGTGACATCTCTTGATTGATGGGCAAGAGATGGAAGAGATGCATGACATTAAAAAAAAAAAAAGAAAAAAAAAAGAGATGCATAACATGATGAGCATCAAGCATGAGAACACGCATGACATCAGGGAAAAAAAAAAAAAAGAAAAAAAAAAAGAAAGATGCTTTTGGCGTTAATACCACTCGACATGTGTGTGCAGAGCAATTGGCCATTGCTTGTCTTTCTTTTTCTTCTTGGTCGTGCTGCTCACTGGCAGGCACTTAACGAAGAATGCGGGTATGAACTTGATGAAAAGAATGCATCTGGCTCAAATTCCGCCTAGGGGAGGAGAGAATGAGGAGGAGGAGGACAAAAAAGGACGAAGATAACCAGCAATGCCACGTGGCCGAACGCTCCACACGCATTTTTGACTGTAGATGACAAGCAGATCATGACTTCAGATCCCGATGGGATCAAATTGATACAAAAAGTTTTGTATCCCCCCCTTTTACACACCCCTCTCCAGCCCCCCCCCCCCCCCCCCCCCCAAGCAAAAAAAAAAAAAAAAAAACGAAAAACAGAAAAGAAAAAAGAAAAATACGAGCAAGAAGATAGTTGGGAGAGAGGGAGATGCAAGGCGAGCCTGCATCACTCCTTCACACGAGAACAGAAAAAAGAACAAAAAAAAGAACAAAAAAAAAGAACAAAAAAAAAGAACAAAAAAAAAGAACAGAAAAAATATGTTTTTTGAGAGAGTGAGGGAGAACCTGCATTAGCTTTACACGCGCGCCGCTTCTCCGAAGCTGATCTCGCCACTGCACCCGGCTCATCGGTGTCCCGACGGCATAACCACCTCCTTCTCCTTGTTCGCCGGGACCGCGCAGATTGCCCCCAGTCGTCCGACGATACGGCGGGGCCCCCGTCCGCGGAGGAGGAGGAGGAGGAGGAGGAGGAGGAGCTCCCGCCCTCCCTCCGCCTCCCCCACCCCAGTGCTGTTCGCCGTAGCGAGTATCATACGCGTCCC